TTTTTTTTATTTCACCGTGTACAAAACGATTCTGCATCACTTTGACAATTTTCGTAACCTATCATAACCACTAAATATAAACGATCAGAGATGCTGAACTGCTCTGTCAAAATTTTTGCGAGTTCCGAAAACCATCAAATTAAAAAGTGTTGCAACCTTTTAGTAACCGACTGTACATAAGCATAACATAAGGCCGCTGGACCAATGAGCGTCTTATGTTAATCAATATGGCGTCTTTATGCTGGATGCTCATTGGTCCAGCGGCCTTACGTTATGCTTATGCACAGTTATGCATTTCATGTGCGATAGGCCTTAAGCGGGGAGCACAGACTTTTGCATAACGCATAAACCATATACATAAAGAATTTGATTGGCCCATTGACTCATGCATAAGAAAATGGGCCAATGAAATTCCTTATGTATATGTATTATGCGTTATGCAAAAGTCTGTGCTCCCCGCTTTAACCTGTACTCTGTAGTCTCGAACTCAGCTTAATATAAGAGGCCGGCTACCGCTATTTTAATATTATAATTTACAATTTTACAATATAGATATATCTAATAATGGAAAGGCGTATTTGTATGATGTTCTTTCAAAATGAAATAGAAGATGATAATATTATACAAATTATTATACATTGTGAAAATGATTTATATGACGACAGTGTTGCCGTTTTTAGTACAAATGTATTTTTTTATTACATTTTGATCTATTTTAGTACGTCATTACAAAATATTTTAAATCTATTACATTTTAAGAATTTATTAGAATTTTTTAAATGTGTTGTACTTGTGATTACAACTCATCAGTTCGATCTCATATCGTCGGTTACTGACATACCAACTGACACTGCTCCATCTGGCGACTTTCAACATAAAACATTGCAAGTGGCGTATCTCAAATTTTTTTATTTATGACTGTGTTCCAAAATCACCGCCAGAGTTGGAAACCCATAATTAACGTTACGTATGCTACAGATTCTCAGCGCTAGCAGCGAATTCTGGAACCAAGAAGACTAGGGTATCAATCACGTAATTTTTTCTCTAGGGTGGAAACGTGAAAAGTGAAAACTTTTATGAATATATGTATGAACATTAGGGTGTCCGTTATTTTGGCGATTTTCGAAATTTGTACGGGACCCCCCCTAACTTTTTAGTAAAAAAAATAACAAAAATTTTAGCGCTAATAAAAAGTTCCTACGATAATTCTAAGTGGAGGCTCATCGATGTTGAAAATTAACCCGTAAATCTTATGGGAAAAAACATTTTTTTAGTATTTCTTCGGGCATTTCCACCGCAGTCAGTCTAAAAATCCAGCAAGTGAGATATCTTTTCTTGAATGTTTTCCACGTGAAATGAGCCTAGGCGGAACAAAATCGATCAATTTCCGGCCGAGTTATTCCACTTTGAACTTCAATAATTTTTCACCCAAAAAATGAGAAGAGCCTAAAATCTCTCAATAAAATTACAGTAGCTCTGTTAGAATGCATTTTAAAATCATGAACCATTGAATTTCACATTCCTTATAGTTTTGCGATTAAAATGACCACCTTACAAGTTAAAAACGATAATTTGTAGCCGAATTACCGCAGTTTTTATGAAGAAGTTTTTTTTTACTAAAATCAGGTGAAGGAAATGAAGGTTTAGTTTATTCGCTATAACTCGAGAGAAAAAAATCGTAAGTTATTGCACGAAATACTATCATATTCCTTACGTTTTTTCCTTTCGAAAGCCATACCTGTCGTCATTGAAAAAAAATTTCTGGACGCCATACGGTCCCTTTAATATTGCTCTTCTTCGAACGCGAGAAATCTGCAAGCTGATAAATATCTTTCTTATTAATTGTCCC